TGACACCCACCCTCCTGTGTCCTCGTCCCCTCACCCTGGGTGCTGCTATCCCCTCTGACACACACACAAAAGCCGTAGCCATGTGCCCCCCTCCCTGTCCCTGGCACAGCCTCCATCCCAACTGGCATCTGATGGACACCAGCTGCTCCCTGGCCCAGCCAGGAACAATAAAGATGCTTTGCCCTCCCTGTTCCCAAAAAGCAGGGGGAAAAAAAAACCAAAACACCAACCCATATAATAAGTCATTAAAAGGGAAGATTCTGCTCCTTATTTGCGGTCTCACTCTGGCCTCCTCAGTGTTGGCGGGGGGCCAGGCCTGCCGGGGCCCCCGCCTCTTGCTGAGGGAGCATCCCGGTGCAGATGAATCCTGACCGCCCCCCCTTCCCTGGGGCTGGGCAGGACTCAGCCTCCCCTCTGCCAGCAGTGCTGCCTTGGGATGCCCCTGACACTAGGCACCGTGGGGTACCCCTGGTGGGTGGCAGTGGGATGGAGGCTACATGCAGCATACCTCCTGTCTTAGGCAGGGGGCTGGGAGCAGGGCAGCTAAGTGGTGCACTTGGAGGAGTCTACGGATCTGTTTCTCACCATTCTCTGGGCTATGTTGCCCCCTCTCCACTGTGCCAGGAGGGATGGGAACCCCCTGTTCAAAGGGGACAGGGACTACTGTCCCTGGCATGGTGCTCTTCCACATGAAAGGCCATGCAGGGTTTGGTACTAGCCTCCACCATGCTGTCTGGGAGGGGATTCCTCTTCATGCCGAGGCAGCTGCAAATGAAGTCAGTGGCTTCTCCCAGAAACCTTGGCCCTGCTGTGCTCTGGGCTCTCCTGCTGGCATCAAAGAGATGGATCCCAGAGCCTTGGAGGGGGAGTGTGATACCCCCAGTACCATGTCCCTCCCCTTCCCCCAAACCCTTCCCAGGACAGCCTGCACCTGCAAGGACTTGGAGGTGGCCTGTTTCTCCCTACACCCATTCCCTGGCCAAAACACTGCTTGCTGTGGGGTGCCAGGGAGCAGGCGGACAGGGATGGGGTGGAGTGTCCCCAGTTTCACTTGCTGCATGTGGGACTGGTTGTGTTGGGCATCTGCAGCACCCACCACATATCATGGGTGGGAGTGGGCAGGGTGTGTCCCCTCTGCTTCACCAACCATCGGTCTGTGGTTTTTTTCTGGGGACAGCAAAGCCGACAAGCCACTCTGGGGCTGGAAAAGTGTTGGTGGGAAAGGGGTTGCCTGGTCCAGTGTGTCCTGAGGTGCTCCCTCCTTGGGTCCCCCAGGTGCAAGCACACAGAGGATGCAGCAATTGGGGAATGCCACATCAAGAAGCTCCCTTGGGTTAACATGGTACCTTCTTACGCTGTGGGGCTTTGCTCCTGCCCACCCCATTCCCTAGGCATCCTGGTGGGCAGGAGAGATTGTTGGGATAGGGTCTCTGCCAGCCCTGGCCCTGACAGGGCATATCATGGTCTCCTCCACAGCGGGCAGCCGGGTGAGCCAGGAGCTGCGCTACACCAAGGAGAAGCTGGGCGAGGAGTCTGTCTACACCTCCCAGATGTTGATCCAGACCCCGAAGAGGGATGGGGAGAACATCCTGACACAGGAGGCCCTGCAGCTCCACCTCGAGGCGGCCCTAGCCGCCAGCAAGGTCCAAGTCTCGCTGTATGGAAAGTGAGTCCGGTTCCAGATGGAGGGCAGGGACCCCGGCCATGCCCTACATATCTCCCCACCCGTTGCCATGTCCCTTGTGGGACGATGCCCATCCTCAGCTCCTCCTTCTGTCTTTTCAGATCGTGGGATTTGAACAAGATCTGCTACAAGTCAGGTGTCCCCATTATTGAGAACGGCATGATTGAGAGGGTGAGTGCTGGTCGTGGTGTGTCCCATCGGGAGCTCCTCACAGGGATTCAGTCCCTCAAAAAATGGCAGTGGATGGACTGTGATGGGGACAGGGTGTGCCAGCCCCAGGCACTGGAAAGGCATTGCCATGTGCATGTGGGAAGGCATAGGTCTGGAAAGCCCAGCAGGGCTGGGGGAGATTGTGGGGAGCCAATCCAATACCTGCTGACTCCTTGCATCTCCTTCTTCCACAGATGATAGAGAAGCTGTTCCCCTGCGTGATCCTGACGCCTCTGGACTGCTTCTGGGAGGGCTCCAAGCTGCAGGGAGGCTCAGCTTATCTCCCGTGAGTGTGTGTAGGGGACTGTCCCAGGGTGTGGAGGGCCAGAGGTGGGAACAGGGGCTGGGGGTGCTGTGCTTGACCTCCCTATGCAACTTGGCCCTGCCTGCTCCAGAGTCCCTCAGTGCTGCTACACCTTGTCCTGCTCAGCCCCAGGATGGTCCCACCACCACTGCTGTCCCTCGCCTCAGTAGCGCAGCAGGGCTGCACCACTGCAGGGGGGCTGCAGCCCATGAGCAGGAACTGCCCATCCCTGCCATGCCATGCTGTCACACCAGCCAGGGACTAGAATATGGGGGCAGCGACTGTGCCACAGGCAGGTCCTCGAGGCTTCTTCCCCTCCGTAGTGCTTTGCGGGCGCCGCAATGGCAAGGAGGCACCCACACTCCTGAGATGTGCCCAGGGATGCGGCGGGCACACAGTCCCCGGAGTGG